AATCTTCCAGCGAGCTAATAAATACGTCAAAATTTTCCATTTTAAACCTGTAGTGATTGATTTAATTTGTAATGCAGATTATAAGATGAAACGAAGACAACAAATTAAAATGTTTTGGCATCGGTTACACAGAGAAGATAGCAAATTGAAGATATTAATGTTAGATATTGATGACGAAGATTTTATGGAAAATTTGAATGATTGTTTAGAAGCATTGCAGTCTAACGTTCATCCAATTTTGATTCCATCCGGAAGTTCAGGTATATTTGATTCTTTAATATTTCATATGATATTTAATACTGTAGTACATAAAAAACCAAAGTAGGAAATATTGATGGCATAGATGTACGGTCTGATTTTTTAATGTAATATTTCTACATTTTTCTCTGGTTTATCAATCTTTTTATATGTTTGGGAAATATTTCAACTTTTCTTTGAAAGGGCCGTAAACTAGAACTGTAGTAATAAGGAATATAAATGGAAAAAAAAAAGAAAATTTTGATCCCTTCTCTACTTTCCATCTTTTTTTTCAGGTTCGTATTTTGTTCGAAATTTACAAGGCCGACACATTGGTGTATTCAAACCAAAAGATGAAGAACCATTTGCGGAAAATAATCCAAAATGGCCGAAATTCTTACAACGATTTCTCTGTTTTTGCTGTTACGGACGTTCATGCTTGATACCACTCAATGGTTATCTATCTGAAGCAGCTGCTTCACTAGTTGATGAACGATTACAGGTTGGTGTAGTTCATTTGTTCATCATGTGTAAAAATACTTATCAATTTTTTTTAGAATTTATTGAAAGTAGTAAATTGAAAGAAAATGTATTTTATTCTTTTTATAACTTTTTCCATATGTTAACTTGCAGCTATACATTGTACCAAAAACTCGTGTTGTCAAAATGGCATCTCCGACATTCTTTTATCCTCGACGATGTTGCTCAGCATCAGAAATATATCCAAAAATTGGAAGTTATCAAGTAAATCTTATTGATATTCTTCATTTCATGATATTTTAATCTCATTGGAACATAAAAAGTTTCATTATTATTTATTTTGATTATATTGTATATTTCTTCAAATTTCTTTTTTGTTGCTTTTTTGAGGAAAAATTAAGGAAAATTAAACATATTTAAGCTTTTTGTTCATGGTTACAAACCTGCGTATGATGTGGTACCTGGTTGGGAGCTTACTGGTACAAATGATCCACTCACATCTCTTGAACGGAAGCGTTTTCTTGTTTTATTTCAAAAAATGTGTGTGTTGGATTATGTAATTCGGAATACTGATCGGACCATGGATAATTGGTTGATACGGTTAGTTGCTTATCTTATATTTTGTTTTTCCGAAATTTCTTGTTTGATATATTTTGTTCTATTTATGTTTCGAGTTTTAATGTAATTTAATTTCAGATATGCTCCAGATGAAACACTTGATATTGCAGCTATAGATCACGGTTTAGCATTTCCTGTTAAACATCCGGAAACGGCAACAGTCTTGAGACCATTTGTATACGGTTGGGCAAATATGGATAGCACACGAGAGGTAGGATTTGAATCATTCTTTTTTTCAACTATCCAAGTATCTTAAATTAATACCCAGTAAATTGATATTTCAGCGATAATTTCTTAATGTTCAAAATAGTTGATAATTTGTTGAACCACTATTTATGTAATCAATGATCAATTTATTTCATCAAATAAAATTTTTTAGGATAAAGTATAACTTTTCAGGGAAATCTTTTTTTTATTAATTGATCGTTCTCTATCAACGGAGACTTTTTTAATAAAGTAGTTGCAGTTGCAATCGCAAAATAATTAAATTTTTAAATAAACGATTGAATTTCATGTAATTTTTTCTACAATCTAATTATAAAAATCTAATTAATTAATTAATTAGTTATTATATATTGAAATCTAATTATATATGAGCGATATTTCATTGTCGCTTTTCCGTTGAATTCGTCATATTTCTAGCCTTGGGATGAACAGTTGCGTGATCGTTTGCTATCTTTACTTACGCCAATGTTCGTTCATCGTTTATGTGCGGAAATCATGAAGCTCTTTATGATCGACACTACCAATAATAGATTTCTAATAAGAAACCAATTGAAAGTATTCAGGGGACAGGTAACTTTCATTAAAATTTAATTAGCTATTAGTTGATTAATCGGTGATTGACCAAGAAAATACTTGAAAGGTAGTGGTAACTTATTGAAACATTCTTTCAGCTGTGGAATTTACGTCTTGCATTACTGGAAAATGAATCACCACTAAAAATGATTCAACGACCACTTGTTATCGTTACTAAACGATATCGTAAATATCCGACATCCGATATTTGGGAAGAATGTTTTAAAGCTAAAACTCCAGACTATTCGGGGAGACGCTGCTGTTAGTTCCAGTGATTTGAGCTAAGGTTTCCTTCTAATTGCTTCATTCAGATTCCTAAAAATCCATCGGTAAACTATATCTTCCAAAACTAAAACTTTTGCGGAGAATAAACTTTTCAAGTTAATGAATTAGAATGCACTTGACAGTCTTTTGTTTAAAATATATCCCAACGATTCTTTTTTTGACCGCTTTAGAAGAGTCATTTTTTATAATATATCACCCAACTTTCACTTTCTATGGATTGCAGTAATATGTGTGTGCATCATTGCTATCGTGATCTATACTTACTAATTTTCCTTTATTTTTTATATTCTCATGTTGAAATATGTAACTTCCAGCTATTTCATGTAAAGAAACAAAACAACTGAATTTGCAATTTGCATTTTAATTTTGTAGTTTGTACGCAAATTTTAATTTCATTTTAATCTATATTTTGGCTCTTCAGTCTATTTTAGACTAAATTTTTAATTGTTTCAGACTAAACAAAAATTTTAATCTATAATTGGTAGAACCAGCTTATAGCTAAAAGAGACTGTGTAAATCATTTCCTGCGTTTTTTGCATACATATAAAGCTGTATAAAGTTGTATTTGCCGATAACAAGTTGAAAAAGATGTTTTAATCATTATTATCAGTGTTAAATCCTAAAAAAAGACAACTCTTTCACTGACCATCAACAACACAGCACCGAGATTGGTATTTACAAGTTCAAATGTTATGAAATCTTGATGCCTGAAAAGAATGGATATGAAAAGGAAGAGAGGGAGATTTCATTATGCTAATTTCCATTTTTCCAATGGCACAATATGCCAACAGTTTTACAGAAATTATGCACCTGTAATACTGATCTTTTTTTTCGATGACATTTAATTTTTGATGATTTGGCCTGTATCAAAAATGACATTACAGTTATGATGTGAATAGTATTTGATTATAGAAAAAGTGTGAAATTTACGTCAAACAGTTTTGAATAATACATGAGAATTATGCGATGTTGTGAAGATATGTGTGTATGTTTCTCCAAAAATTCTCTCTCTCTCCTTTACTACACCAATACATTTACTGTGTTGTTATACATCATAATAGTGTAACACTGAATTAAAGACACATCAAGCAAACTTTTCCGACAGCACATCGTAGATCTTTCACGTTGTGTTCGTCCCACATATTCATCTCATGAATTAATTTATCAATACTTGCATCAAGACGTACATCATTCTACACAGCTAATTTTCCACACTTTGTGTGCTTCAGGACAATTTTAAATCACGATCACTACTTGCCTGTTTCTTCAGCGATTGCCTGTTGCAGTAAATTCATAATTTCTGTATGCAAACGATTTAGACGCATTGGACTTTGAATCATATCTAACTTTTTCCAAATCATTTTTGCTGGAAGTAATAATAGAATTAAAAACAAGCCACATATTTTATTGCCTAATTTTCCATTGTCTTATCATTCGATTAATTTAAAGAGATATTATAAGGCCAATTTTGAAGCTTCTTTCCATGAGATAATGATTAAGATACAAAGCAAATGACTGTAACATCAATAAGAAGTGCTATGCAATTATTCCTTAATTTAAAAAAAGTAATACTCAAAGTTGACCGGTGCTTTAGCCTCTTGAAGGTAATAGAATAAACAATGCTATATTGAAGTTTTTTCTGATTACTGTGGTTTCACAGAACCAGTCACATTATTTCACGCATTTTATACAATCTGTGCTTGCTACAACCTCATCAAATGAAAATATTCGTTAGATTTGAGATAGCTAACGGTGAAATTCGTCCAATTTTCTGATTAACTGATTAGAACTAGAAGTGTGCATGGAAAAAAAAATAACGTTTCGAACATACCAAACAATTCGTTCATTCCAGCTTGCTGTTCGTTCGAACCAGTTGACTTATTATTTCTGACATCTAGCATTGGCCCAATAGCTGGCTTATCCTGAAATATGTCACAATGAAACACATAAGATAAACTGGGTGAATATCTATGATTTGTTAGATAAAAAATTGGAGGCACTGCAATAAAAATAACCACATAAACCAACCTGAAATTTATCAATAGGCTGCTTATAACAATAACTCCAAAGTAGTCAATAGAAAACAAAAGAGCCGTACACTGCTTGTAATAAATCTTTCAACATCAAAGCATCAAAGAATGATTTCAAAGAGTTTTATAAAATAGTGCATACCTGAGTATGAATCGAAGAACTTATATTCTGTTCAATATCACCACGTCCTGAAGTGAATAACAATTTCGGTGGTTTCGGTACTGACTTTTGCCGTGTCCTTCCTTGTTCTGCAATAGTAAAATCATCCTTCAAAAAACAAAACAGTTCATTAATAATGAATAAAGAATACATTGTGCGAGCTCCTTTAATTGATGAGAATGGAAAAATGAAAAAAAAAGAATGAAAAAAAACAGATGCCTACCTTTTGATTTTCTAATTAAAAAGGATGATACTTTTCTCCTTGAATTTTGCACAGTTAAGAAATTGGGACTTCCACTTTCAAAATTTTAAACGATATTTAAATGTTCAAATGTGAAACAGGAAGTTCACATTTACCAAATTAGTTTACCGCCTCATTTTAATTTATAATTGCCATACTTTCCCATCCTAGCTTTCTATAAGCCTCAGCTTTTTTCTTCGATATACGTCTATTATTTTACTTCAGTATTCTTAACTTATAATATGGAAATAACGAAGTAATTCACATTTCAAGTTGAATGAAAACAGCAATTTAGTTTAAAACCAACTAATTTTTCCTTAGGCGTTTTCTCGCCCTTTCTTTCGTTAATAGGTGAAACCTAAGTTTCACTGATTATTTTAATGAAGAAATTTTTGAATTGTTATACCACCGTTTTTTGTGAACTTTGGAAAAAAAGTGTTAAAACGATAAAAAAACCAAAACCTTCCATCAAACGCGGCTTCGGTGGGCCTTCGTAAATACGTTTCTGCAATTCTCGGATGCATTATTTGAATTTCAGAATTTGGTAAAGGTTATGAACCTTCAGCAGATGACATCAGCACCTGTTGCATGCACATACATACCAATTATTGGTGAATGACGATATTGCAGGGCATTTTGGGAAGATTACGAGGCTTTCATATTATCAATATATATGTTTCAATATTGTTAAGTTATTGTTAAAAATTCTTTTGAGTTTTTTTCCCCTTTTTCGCCTTTTAATACTGAACTACCTTTTGCTTTAAGGCTTTTCCAACCAAAAGGACTTATTAAAAAAAGCAGCAATGACTGCTATGATTTGAAATTTAGATAAAAAATTTCTAGCTCTTCGACAAGCTAGTTTACATAGTGCTAAAAACCAACTTTGAGCAAATCTGCTGAAATGAAAAGAGCACATTATAAATAAAGAGTGCACATAAATTATATGCTTTTTTATTCTTTTACGGAATTTTTTTTCATACCACAATTTTATTTCCAATTTCACAAATTTTAAAACCTTCTTTATATATTTTTAGTGATCAAAAATGGTTAACGGTGCCCAAATAATACCTACATGAAATATTTTGAAATTTTTTAAAGCGAAAACATCTTCGCAACATTTGGGGTATAAGTGCAGATACAGTTGTTCAAAACAATTTTTAAAATAAGTCTCATACCTGACCATAGTATGACCATAATATGACCATAGTATGAGATCGACAGCATCGCAAAAGTATTTTTCATTACTTCTTTCAGAACTAGATACCCAAAGCTAACAGGTAATCGAAATCATTCGGATGATTTTTATTCAAAAAAAATGTATTTTTGGAAGAACTAACTGACCTCCGATCCAGGATGACCAGGATGTATCGATGGTGTCGCTTCGTTGAAAAAACCGAATTTTTGTGGTGGGAAGAGATGAGGAGGTCCGGATACGTTAGGATATCGAATGGGCATCACTCTTTGTACAATATTCGTTCCAGCAGGATGTAGCGGCTATAATTAATATAAACATATAATCGAAACTTAAGAGTACGTATAACCTAAAACTATTGAATCGCAAGCATAAATAAATAAAATATTACCCTTCCACCAGGATGACTTCCACGCATTAGCATGTATTGCTGTTGATGATATGCTAATGAAGAAATTCGTCTCTTTACACCACCACGCTTAGTATTATTCCTGAAAGTTTTCATTAAATTTTTATTTCCAAAGTGTAATAAAAAGAGCAGTTAATCATACCTGCATCATCAAAATTTCAAATAATGGAAGCCTAAAATTTACAGCATCAGTGGAATTCTCTAACATAAATTAGTTTTTTATACTCCATAAATTACGTTGTGGTTATACTTCAAAAACAGAAATATCGTATCTGTAAAATATTTTTTCTGAAAAAAAAGACCTACTCGGCTAACTGATGTAAACAATCTCCAAAATTGAATGCAATACCTTTTTCTCGGTTGTTTCTCAGTAATTACAGTTTGTTCGCCACTTCGTCCTAATTTGACATCATTATCCCCTAAGTCCGTACGACCGCTGGTATTTGATGTCATACCGTTATCTTTGCAACGTTTAACGTGAGTAGTATGTATGTAACGTAAGTATGTATGTCAATATATACTGAAACGGAAACAAACATAAGATTTATAAAATAAGCCAAGAAAAAAGACGATAACATTATTCCAAAACCAAGTCATTCACTGAAACCTATACTTCATGCATATCACGTAACTCATAATTTTGATATTCACTGTCCCTTTTTTAATACATCATACGATGTCTTTTTTTTCAATAAAAAAAAGCTAACGCGCCACACTTCATCACGCCGCCCTTTCTTCATCGTAATCGCATCACGTCATCAATCATCGTAATTTCAATCTTTTGGCAGTCGCTCGCATGGCTATCTACCTGGTCCAGTTTGCAAAAGTATTATCCCAGACGATAATCTAATGCAGTTTAGAATACCGTAAATGAAACGGTATGATAATCATTTATTCTTACTGTTATAAGGCAGTACTGTTATTAACATTGTAATAATTGTTGCTGAACAATGGTTTTTTGCACTGATAATGCATATATGATTTAAGGCAAAAGGTTGGGTGAGGAATTGTCTGCAAATTTAATGGGACATATGAGAAGAACGGAGAAATTAATATTTGAACTAGCCCAAAAGGGAAAAATGTTATTAGGTTTAGAGATTTTAAACTTTCTAAGAATGCTGCATTTCTTAATTAACTGCTAGCAAATAAAAATACTTGTATAATGAAAGAATATTTATTTTTGAAAAATAATTTGGCACATGAAGAGAAGTTAAAAAACTTGAATTCAAGCCTAATGCTTGCAGTTGTTCTCAACCTGATTGAACTTCATAATTAAAATTAGCATAAAAAACGTTGTTAGCCTTAAAGGACTAGTGAGGTGTGAAAGTGAGAAAGCTAAGTAATCTTTTAGAAGGTAATTTTGTTCCATGCCCTGTAACAGTTCCTAATTGAAATGCAGTAAAATAGTTTGTTGAAATTAGTTATGTCCACTACAATGATGTGAAAAAAGGTTGAAGTGCAAAAAAAGCTTACGATTATGAGAAAAAGATTAAAGTAGATTGCGCTAATATTAAGCACTGGCGGAATAAAGAAGAATTAGAATCTTTGCATGAAAAAAAAATTGAAAGCTTAAATTAATCTTACAGAACTATTATGTTCAGCTATACCAATTATAAAGGATTCTATTTGGTGCTGAATGGAAGCTTTTACATGACAAAACCTGATATGCCTTCAAAGAGTTGTGAAAAGTAAAAAGATTTTCAGTATCATATTGTAGTTGATTAGATAGAATTAGTAAAAAAGGGTTGAATTAAATTTAAATAAATCAGGATTTTAAAGGAATTCGGGAAGGAGAGTTTATAATCCAATAATCAACAAAATTTCTACGCAAATGTATATGAATAAAACAGCAGACGGAGATGCAAACTTCTCACCAAGAATTTTTTGAGAATGAGAGCTTAAAATATGGTCTAGCATATTGATAAGTTGCTATCATATCTTTAAAAAAAGGCTTTTTACCTAAATATGTATTGGTATCATATCACTGTCTTGATGCTATTGACATTCTGGATCTCTTTACACTTTATATCCACTGATACCACGAATTTAATTTAATTATTAAATCGTATATTTCAATATATGAACCAAAATTATTCATATTACAAAAAAAAAATTAATACGCACATAGTGGATACTTTACGTTGTTGCCTTGCAATGTTTGTTGGCTAATATTTTTATTAATTGGGGAATAAAGCAAATATTTGTGGACAAATTAACATTGCTTAACTTTACCAATAGTTCAAATAATATTCAGCAATTTATGGTTCGTTAATATTTAAGCAAAAACAACAAAATGAGAGAAAATGTCGTACGTCCATGTGAGAAATGATGGTTTTATGATGAAAATTGGGAGAAGTCAATACTAAGTGTACTAAAATAAGTCGTAAAATTACTAAGAAACTCGATCACTCTATCATATCATTGAAGCCATCAAATGGAAAGAATTATCTGATCCCTACAATCTTCTTCACTATTTCATATAACGAGCTATATGAAATTTCCAATTGCTATATTTAAAGTGATGAAATTTTAAGAAACTATGATGAAAAAATTCATAGAAAAAATGCAATTTGAAATTTTATTTTGTGTGAACGTAATAATGTTAGACTACAAGGATCATAAAACATAAAAATTTATTATGAAATAGATCACTTAATGAATAAAATCACAGGGTTGCTTCTCTGTTAATCATAAATGATCAGTGACGTTTACAGCATTTTGCATTTGGCTGTATCAGTGCCACGTATTTCGACCATCCTTTTTAATCACCGATTTTAATATTTCACCTTTGAAATATGGATTTTTGTGATTTTTGATAAGGTGTATGGGCATTCCTCTGATGGAGCGCTTTCGACGAGGTGCCTGAAGCTCTAATTTTTCTTCTTGAAAAAAAAATTTTATTTTAAAAAGGAATGAAATTTTGTAAAAAAAATGTTAGATATTTGATAAAAGCAATAATAAATTTTAAAGTTGCATTCGTATCCTGAAAATTCACTTCCTTTTATTGTTAACTATAATACTAAACGATTGTTGTCTTATCGTTCAATCCTTGTTTTTTATGAGAAAGTTTTTACAGCGATAAAATTAGCATAATTGGGAGCATATTTATTTCTCTGAATTGGGTAAATACCACGACTTAAACCAAAATGCTAAAATAATTGGAAATTCTACTATTGGTGGGATTGTTTTTTTTTTTGAATTAATAATTTCCATCCACAAATTTAAGCATTTAAATGTCTTTATTGTTTAATTGCAAAACAAGAAGTGTTACCATCTTTTTTTTTTGTTAACTTTACACTTACCATTGCTTCTGATCGTTTTTCGTGAAATTTTTTGGCAATGAGAGTTTTATGCAATCCTTGATCGTTAAGAATACTTTGCAAACTTTCCTCCAACTCATCATCCGTCTTTTTGTCTGGACAACTAAAACTTTCAGTTGTTTGCTCATTCGGAAAAAAAAGAAAAAAATATTGTACGTGGAAAAAATTCTTGAACTTTATGTTTTTCACTTTTACAAAAATCATCCGATTAACCTATTACGATTTGAACGAATAATAACAGTTAATCAGGAGGATAAGTTAAGAATAACATTATTCATATAAGGAAGATGAGGAAGACATATATTTCGAATTCATTGATAGCTTTGGTAGATAGGTAAAGCATAATAATTTAATTTTTAAAATTCATTGTCATTCATCGCTAGTTTCATATATGGTATCGCTGATGTATGGTTCAGATTTTAGTTATTACACCATTGATTTGTCATACTAATTTTATTTTTATCATAGTAATTGTTTTATTATACTAATTTTATGATTTTCAAATGATTATATTGACTTATTTGATAGTTTAATGCAGCATACAAATAAATTATTTCAAAAATTTTCCCTCAAAATTCATAAGTTAATAAATGTTGATGAAAAAGATTCGATAGCTTTACAATAAATAATACGAGTGAGTGAGATATTTTTTTTGACATGCGTACAGTTTATTGAATATTTTATTACACTGACTTATCATTAGAATAACTAATCATCTTGCTATCATCATCATTTATTTCGTTATAATTGCCACAATTTCTTCTCACATTTGTCTTTTCTTTGATCATTTTTGTCTTATTTCATCTTTCTAGCAACAATTTCATGCTTACTTGAACATATGCTCTTGATCGCAAATACATGTTTGTCTAGCTTGGTAATTTCGTGAAAATTCGGCGCTATTTTCAAATTCTTCCAAGCAACCATCCGCTGCTGTATAACCTAACGGGCATGGATTTGGTGGTTCACAATAGGATGGCAATATGTTGTCGCTTTTCACCTGTAAGTTAATAAATCTAAACCTTCAATGCCTAAAGCTTACCTTAAATAACTGATGCATCGGCCTTTTTGAATGTGAGGAGAATGTTGAGGTAACTGATTCTAACTGATTCTAAATGAGCCACGCTTTTTTGTTGAAGAAATGAGCATAATGATGTGTTGATTGCCCTTTGGAAATAAGCTCACCTTTTCACGCTCTTCAAAATCAGAATCAGGCCGCAGAAGTTGCGAACCTTCACCAGCTCCACCTGTAACTGATTCCGCTTTCAGTTTATCATGTCTTTGTATCCCTGTTAAACTGGTAGCTTTCATTATGTATTCATTTTACAAAATAATAAAATTTAGCTAGAATGTAAACAAACTGTTCTATGACAACAGATCTACAAATTTTCAGAAATTCCTACGACATAAAAGATAAATACTGATTACCTGTCATGTATTTATGACCGAAAGCTAGTGGACTTGGAATGGTTTCAATGTCACGGCTTATCAAACCAATGAATTCGGGTATGTCCTGCAACAAAAAAAAATCATTTTAACATCGGTAACTGTGATTTTAGCATAAAATAAAAAAGAAAAACCAAAAAAAGCGCAATACCGAATTTTGCAAAATCAAAAAATATATTGTTAGAAAGGTATCAATTCTAACAACACTATGAACCCTCAACCTTTTGTTTACAATTAACAGATTTATTTTTTTGCAACTCGCTGGAACTGTTGTAAATTTGTAAGCTAAACATAAAAGAGTCGCTGATAGCATTCTGCTAATCAAAAAATAGAAGTAAGGAAAGTACAGAGATCCTTTTTCAATCAAAAATAAAAACGCGAAAATTGGTGACTTTTGCAATAATTCAAATTTTGTTGAGAAAAGTTGAACTAAAAGAAACCTGATGTGACAGATCAATTTCTTCCGTACTCAGGAAGCAGGCAAAGAAGATAATGGTGATCGTTAAGCCGAATGTTGTTGCCATTATCGGTTAAAAATAACGAGCAAACGGATTGGAGCCGAAATCGGAGCGATGAAGGATAGGGGCGACGCAACCGTACAAGCGGTTCTAATTTGTTCAATTGAGAAAGGGCATGTTTTTCCTCTCGTGCTAGGCCTTACTGATGATTAGGCTCAAAAAGTCGATGAGTAGCAGCGGCTATAAGCCACATGACAGCAGCATGGGAAAAAGTGTGCACATTGCATCCATTTCATGCATTCTCCATCAATAATGGTGTTTATTAATGAATTGGAAAACTTTTTATCTCTTATGGATAAAAACTTACGCAAAAAACGTCATAAAAGCTTAAATAGAGAGATTGCGTGAAAACAAAATTCAATATAATTTCAATGAAATTTCTGTTGCGTGTTTAATTATTACTGTGCAACTACTAAGGCATTCGACGAGGCATTAGTTCAAACTTCGTAATCAATAATTTTGCACCGAAAAAGTTTAATCGTAAGTGATGAAGAACGATTAAATCTTTGTAAGATTGGAAAAAAAGTAGAAAGAGGTAATTGTATGCATCAAAAATTAAGACTAATTGCGCATTTCTATAATAATTAATGAAAAATATGTGACTTTCATTAAATGCACAAAAAGATTTAACGATAATTGAGATTTCCAAATGATTTCAATTTAAAATATATGTGGAAAAAAATTCATTGATTAGAATGATAAGTACTTTTATTGTAAGCATTAGTAATTTAATCATTATGAAAATAACTCTTCTAATCCCTTTAAATATATAATTAAAAGTTATCGTCTTTGGTTAATATAACTGTTGTCGAATGAATGATAACAGTTTCTCAAGAGAATAATTCGGGATAAACCGAATTTTCCAGGAAGGGTAAAAAATCAAAAAGGAATTTGTTGGATTTTATTCGCAATCACAAGCAAAAAAGAAATTGTACAGTATATAGAACTGGAATGTCACTTCCACCTAAAAAGCCTTCATATTAGCGCTGAAAGTTAACAGTTTCTATTTTAATCCATCATTTTTGCATCCGACTGCATTTCTTCGTTTATTCTAACAAGCTTTATATCATACCGATTGACTCACTAGCATGTTTCCGAGTGATTCATTTCATGAATGAGAGCTTAGTTATGGAAGGGAGAGTGTGCGCTCAGTTGTGAAGGATAATTTCGATAAACAAGGAATATAAAATTTCAAAATTTTGTTCAAATTTTTATATAATTCAATAACAGCAAAATCTATTTATATGTTTGTGTATTTGTATATTGCGCACGCCTTTGGTCAATGAGCATAATTAATAATGAAAAATTGTCCAGTAAATGTCAGAAAATTTTATCCACCGAAATAAGAGAAATGGTAAAGGAACAAAACGAAAACAACCTTAATTTGCATGTCAGATAAGGATCTATAATTCACAAATAAGCAATAACAATGAAAATAAGAAAACGTCAACAAAAAGATAACAAAAACTTGGGATTAAGAATTAAATTGCAAAAATTCAACCGATGAAAATAATCAATAATACAAGAAATATAGCATATTTCAGTTTAAAATATGCTTATCTGTTTGCTTTTTTAGCATGAAACATCGTTATGTGCGTGCTTCAAAATACAAAAATCAAGTCAACTGGTCATCTTTCTTTATTTATTAACGCAACACATTTAGTTTAATGTAAAAGTATCCAATAATGACACAATTTAACAGATTAGTTATCAGTAAAAGTTGAATTAAAAGTGAAAGTAATTTGAAAAATATCTCCCACGTAATAAAATAACAAAAAAATATTTTTCAAAAATATTTCTCTCGAAGGAGTTCTCTTGAAGCCAGTTTCTAGTACAAAATTTTGAACCAAGATTACCACTTTGTATTTTTAAGCATGTAGTTAACCTTGAAACTCATTTGAGCAAAATGGAATCAGACTATCTCAAAATCGAATTGTTTTTATCATTTTATAATAAATTTTTAGTGAAGTTTTCAATTTAATCAACTCTTTACTTCTCTGTTAAGTTCAAGAAGGTGTTTTATCTTTAAGTTATCAGTGCCATAATCATAATTATTTTTCATGAATTAAGATTTCGCAAAAACGACAATGGAAAGTCTGCCCCCTACCTAATATTCAAATAAAGATTGAAAGACATGTAGCCTTTGTGACAATCTTTCGGAACACTTTAGTTTATTAAACAAATAGAAATAAAGAAGGCACATAATGATGTGAGATCTAACAGAAACTAATTTACAAAATTTTTCAGGTTCTAAATCCCATGATGATGGAATTGCTAACTAATGAGGATTCTTACATAGTTCGAGCTATTCCACAATTTATACCAAAATAATTTCGTGAAATCAATTTGAGGAAAACTCATTTAAAAAAATTCTAAACATAAATTATGTTAATGTTCTTTTGCCTTATTTTTCGTCGCTGTGCTAGTATGGCCAGTCCAAATATCGGCAAATGCAAGTGTGCCAGTAAACACCAATGCCGCACCTATACAATGCGCTAAAGTGAATGGATTCCGAAACCACAGAATGGAAATGAGTAATGAAAGAAATTTCCGTATAGTAACAACCATTGTTACTGTTAACGATTCATAGGTAGCATTTAACCGATATACAAAACTGATGCACATCCATCTGAAAATTAATTTAATCAAATCATTTAATAATATTTTGATGCTAAGATGGATTTCATCCGAAATAGGTAAAAATATTCAACTAAAATAATCTCATTAAAACAGCACTCTATAATCAGTTCATTAAAATTTTTTTACTTAGTAAACACTTTTCGGCCAATTATTTGGATAAAAACCAAATAAAATATATTTCTTCAAAGAGATGATAAAGACCACAGTATATAGAAATATGAAATAAAGTTGTAAAAACCATATACTGTAAAAGACATGTAGCGACAAGATAGGCCCACATGTGTGGAACACGATAACCAAGTATATCAATCGGATAACTAAGCGAAAATGCAACAGCTGATTTATAAATATCTTCACCCATAAATGCAAAAAATGGCAATGAAGTGCAGTGCTATAATAAAGAACGATGTGGATTAAATTTATATTTGTACTGCATGTAGTATAAGAATTATGGATTTTGATAAGCAAGAGCTACAAAGAAAAAAGAATTTCTGAAATGACATATTAATTTTTCTATTTCAATATTTGAGCCAACTTTTTTTTCCAACACAAAAGTATATTAAATTCGATATAATTTTCCTTCACCAGTAATTAAAATCCTAAATTTAGGTAAAGATCCAATCCACAAATTTATTCTTCTTCAAATACCAACTTACAATTATAAACATGGCTTCCTCAGTATGTTTTCCATAAGTTTTGTACATTGTCTCCTGACAAATTCCCAAATATGCTGATGCTAATAAAGCTATAGTAAGCATCACAATGCCTGAAACATTTTTATCGGTTTTAGGAAAATAAAATAACCGAATCAGTCAATGATAGATATCTTTTACAATTGCACATTCTATATTCAATTGTCCAAACGCTTCGTTAATTAAGGTTGAGCTTGCTATGCATTTAGCAAAAGGAGATCTCGCAACATCCACATTAAGAAAATTTCCAGAATTACAAGGAATAATTGATGGTATTATGCTCCTTATTTTTAAAAAGATAAAGAAATAATGGAAGTTACAGTTGAACATTATAAGTCAGTTGGACCAGAGTAAGAGCGTCCCAAATCCGTAAATCAATTTAAAGAACTTGCCAATTAGCCATTCCCGGTAGTGCTTTTCAGCGTCAACCACCGTCTTTCGTCGGCTCGTTTTCTGGAAGATTTCTTATTCAATTATGAAAATCCAATCAATAATCGACACATGAATAGCTCACAGATGGATATCTCGCATTAAACTCGCAATGTTGACAATATTTTGTTAAATTTCTGCCCACTGACTTTTTTCCATCCTTGTTCCCTCATATCATTCCTACTAAATAAAGTACTGACTGTGAGGGAGTACTGCGAATTCAGACACATAAAAAAAAATAAAAATTCAAAATTGTGATTTTGAAATATCCAACAACTCTGCAACTGAAATCGAAAAGTTTGCGGGATTTTTCGGTAAAACGCATATTTCCAGCAATGATACTACTTTGTTAATTGTGCATTGTGTGACAGCTTTTTTTTTCCATTTTACGTTTAAACAACGAATGCCAATACTAACTCCCATAAAATAGGAACTTCTCGTATTTAAGTCTAAGCAATTCAAAAAATTTTGAAATTATCAATATGAAAAACTGGGAATTTAATTTTTTACTTAAAGTCTCGAATAATAACCTCCAAATGAGCAGTAGCCGTAGTACATATGATTATGCCGACCGTAATCGACAGAACTGCTACATATTTCCGCAATGAGTACTGTTTTCCTTGTAATAGCTTTGTAAGAATTAAACTAGCTAATAGTGAACCCTGAAAGATTAGTTCAGTTGATATTAAATAATGCCAATAGAAAATTAATCATCTTCATACCATATTAGAGAAAAGCATTGTAAACATAACATTTCCTGATCAATTCATTTTAATATAAACAATCATTCTTTTCAAAACATGTTGTATCTTTCAAATTTCAGAGTAATTAACTTAATTACGGACACTATGAGACGATATTATCACAAACTTACTGATCGAAAAATGATATGCAATGGGACGGGAACATGAAAATTTAGAGCTTGGTTATTGATGACATTGACAAAAAAGAATGTTATTACTGTCGGCAGATAACCGCTGAAAAATGATGAAAGTGAGAGTCAATGATAATTGATAAGTTTTGAAGTTGAAAAGTTCAAAGTTTATGAATTCACTTTTTGATAAACAACTTAAAATAAACAAACGTCTAATTTAATTGATAAGACTCAAATTATCTCGAAGCCAATAGTTGAAGTTCACTTAAATTTGATTTTTTTTTGGAAACAAAATAGAACTTCAAAATCATACGAAAAAGCAACTTCGGCAATTAAAAAATAATTTGAGTTCTTAAAAAATTAAAAAAAATGCGGTATACCGTATAGGAATTTTATTGGGAACGGCAAAAAATTTCGATGTAAAAATCAATCCCTCCAGTGATATGAAAAGAAACGTCGAAAAAGTCATCAGGTTCATCGAACTGGGTTGCTCCCTAAAAAATTGACTGAATTATTAAGTTTTCAAAATTTTTGGAGTTCAAACGAAAATAAAGTATTCCTAATCACTTAGTCATTCCTGATGATGGAAACAGAAATGCTCTTTTATTTTCGTTTGAAATTATTCTGTTAAGAAATAGATTGAATTTCGAGATTCTCGTTACTTCGGGTGAATATGAATTTTGCACTGCGGAATAGTTTACTACCGTTATTGAAAAAGTCAAAGGAATAGGCATGACTTTCGTGCTAGGCTTTCCTCTCCTGAAAGTTGAAAATAAGCTTTAAACAGTTTGCAATTTATGAAAATTTCTTTTAGAGTAGGAAAAGAAAGAAGGTAGCAAACGAAAGTTTTAAGATGATAAATTATACTTAGCGATAGATTCCACAAAATACATGCATCCAATGCAACCGGCCAATGTACCAAATATGGGATACAAATCTGTCATCATCACCTGAAACTAAATTCGTAATTAAGGAAAATTTAATTCTACCATATATTTATTTTCCCTTTATTCCACTACTATTTCATCAATTGATTCTTTTTTGATTTAATGAAAAAATTCAATACGAATATTTCTTACTTTCAAACTAAAAAATCTCATGACTAATCAATCAATTAGTTAAGTCGACATAAAATATTTATAATGAACAGTGAAGTAAATTTCACTACGTGATGTAAAAGTCTCTTATTTATGAGACTTTGTGTTCCAAACCACTTTCTGACAGATAATGTCAGAAAATACTTTCAAAATCATAACAAGAAAAGCAAGAATCGATGAAGAATAGCTATTTAAAATTTAATAAATGCAAGAAACAAAATTAGAAAACTAAGAAATTCATAAGTACTTTTGACTTGCAGAAGTTTTTGCTTAACTTAAAAAATGACTAAAAACTTTTCATTAAAATTATTCGACAATTAAGAAAAAAGATGAGAGACAAATCTTTGAAGACTTTGTTATCACTAACCCTATATCAAAGTCAAAATTCTAACAAAAGGCCTAAAATGCATTGGCTTCTAAAAAAAACCTATAAATTTAATAATTATAATAGTTTCGAAGTTTTGTTCTTAATCGAAAATTTGATGCCATACTAAATTCAGCACCATAACACAAATCGAAATATATGGAATGAAAGAGATAATAAGGGTTCCGAAAAGTGAAAACAACTTCAGTTGAAATAAAAAACATGCATAAACCTATAAACCTTTTTCCAATGTGTAAAAATTTAGTAAATTAAAAAATATAAATCTCAAATTTATGAAATTTTCATACACTTTAATAATACTTTTGAACAAATCAAACCTTCAAGTTCCGATGTTGAAAAATCAGAATTAACATGAATTTGAATACAATAAAACAAACTTCATTCAGACTTAAAACAAAAATTAAAATTCAGAGTTTGACAAATTGTGCAATAATCCTCTTCCTAATTTCAAAAAAAAAAATTAGATTCTCTTAAACACAACAAAATTTTGACATTTTCGATGCATGTCGATAGAAGCAATTCAAATTTCTATTAAACGTTTCATTCATTATAATTAGCCAAAATTTCAAATGATTGAAAATTTTTTGGCGAAATCACTCGAAAATGAAAAGAAAAATGAAGTACTTCAACAAATTGGCAGAGAAAGTTTTTCTTTCCAATTTTTTAATTTAAAAGTTTAACAAATTTTTTTCATCAAAAATAAATTGGAATTTACTCATCCACCTAATGCCCCTGCCTCTTCCTCACTGTCCTCACGTTGATGGGTCGCTTGCTGTGACACACACCGAGACCTTTCCCCCTTTCCTCCGTGATCCCATCCCCTCAGGTTCTTCGATCAGATAAACGGAGCAGAAATAAATGACAGGAACAGTGAAGCCCGATTGGTCAACGACGGATGGGCCGATTTGCTATCATGCGCTCCACTAATATATATTGTGTGTGTGTGGGTGTGTGTCTAGAAAAATTCCAATCTTGATTTATTCGTCACTTCAATTAAGCTTTTAACAATCAGCAAATTTTAAAATTTCAAACTTGAAAAAACAAATAAATGAAAGGGCTAATTTTTGAATTTAAATATCATTATAACTAACAAAAGCATAAAATATATCGGCAAATCAGTAACAATCAGAATGATGAATTTAAGTGTCGAATATTTCTGAATATCATTGGTTCGAACTATTCTCTAAAATGATACAAACGTATATGACAGTGATAAGCAGCACACACGCATTCAACTTCCGTCTACTTTATGTGCGAAAAAAGTTTTTAAATTGGTAAATATTTTTTCATAATTGTGCTTGTCGAAATAATTTCACAAAAATTTTTTTCTTTCTAAATAAGAAAAATGAATTCTAAAATTTAACCAAATGTTGCAAATCGTCGACATTCAGTTCACTCAGATTGTCATCACTAACAAACGCATACAATCTCATTCCGGCTTCATCGTTGTACATTTTAATGAATCAACAAGCTAGCAGATATTCGGGAAACTTCCTGAAAATAATTTTTCTTTCAATTTCCTTCTTCTCAGATGAAGGAAAAGGATGAGAAGTTCCAATCATTAATTGATCCTTATAGAAATATTTTATTGCATAAGTATTTCCAGGAAAGGGATTTTTTTGCGGAAGATTTAAATTTAATATTTTAAATGATTTAAGCAATGACAATGACAGTGATAACGAAACACTTTCAAAGGACCAACTTTGAAAATTTTACATTAAAATATATGGATATCGAGATTTTAGTCTCGATTAAGACGTTGTAGTCATAAATGTCTTTCAATCGAAAAAAAAACTTCCAGTTAAAAAATGAGATCACAGTGATCTCAGACAATGGTAGTGGCATGCTATCAGTTCAAATATCTCATTTCGTATTGCTATTTGGAAAGCATCAGAAATGCACTTTATATCACAGACAAAAGATTACAAACTTGTAGAAATACAAATCATACAATTTGAATTGAAATTATTTCAAAACAATCTACGGGAATTATTATATTTCAAACATTTCCGGTATTTATCTCTCTTAAGCAACAAAAAAAGTATGTAATGTCATTATCAAATCCGACGTTGAATATATTTCCAATGACCTTAAATCCAACTATTGACCTCAAATTCATGACCTCACGCCAAACACATTTCTGAACCTGAACGCCAATCACATTTCAGCGAAATATTCAGAAGATGGAATAATATCGAATAACTGAAAGTTTCGTATTAAATCATAAGTTTTTCATATTTTGTATAAAAACCAATTAAAATTCATGAAACTTTGAAATCGA